CTGTTCGATAAAGCCGCAGATAATCCACGTGGCATGCAGCTGGAGAATTAACTAATGACAGCCCACCATGTGTCGACATTTTCATTGCCCCACCTCCCATATGATCTGTAATCATTTTTCATTTTTATTTTTTTATCATAATTTTTACATTTACAACTTATCTAATACAAGCATCATGTCCAAATTTATGTGATTTTATCTTTAATCATGCATTTGAACTTGTCGGATAACTAGGATTTCACATGCATTCTTTAGGATTTCACACGGATGCACGTGGGTAAACTGAATAATTTTCGTTAGATTTATTATTAGGGAGAAACACTGTTAATTTGTATTTGGAACGTTTATATGCATGCAGTCCACTATCATTTTTTTTGGTAGATAAGTCCACTATCAAATTATTAATTGTCTTCATATGATGTATAAATATTTTTTTAGCAAATTCCATAAGAAAACAAACAAATGGTTCACCTAACGACTGACACGGTGATGGCCATTTTGCTGCTGCTATAAAAAAGGTGGAATGCGTCCTCAAAATTATATAATATGTATCAGGAATCTGGATAACAACAACAACAACAACAATAATAATAATAATAATAATAATAATAATAATAATAATAATAATAATAATAATAATAATAATAATAATGATAATGATTGTTTCGGTGAAATTTAGAGCGGTCGGAGTCGGATCCATAAATACTTGTACTTGTGTCATTCTCTGGTCCATAAAAACATGTGAGATTCTTTTTCATTCAATTTTGTCCTGATAATTATAATTAATGTATATATTAATAATTATTGAATACTCAAATTTATATAAATCCCTATAATTCCTAATAGAATAGCTTAAATATTAGAAACAAGGAAACTGCTGGCGAAATTAAGTATTAGAAACATAAAGTGTTAATTTCCTCAAATAAGTTTTTTGAGGAACAAAAAGGTTATAACGGAATTTTAAATAAAATTAAATCCAAAATGGACTGAAAATTAGAGATGGGCCCACCAGATGTAGGGCCCAAGCGATTGCTTTAGAAAGCTGTGAAAAAGGCCGGTGTTGGGAGAAATGGCCCAGAGCGATAATACCGACGTGGCCGTGTCAAGAAGCACACAATTTTTTATGCACGTGTATAATTAATTATTCCTACTATGCATAGTGTATTTAAATATTCCTTTTTTTTATTATTGATAGTAGTAACGTATTGTTGTTATATTTAACTTCTTTCACATTATATTAAATTTGTGGATTAAGTGTTACCGTAATTGGTGATTTAATCAGCTAAGATTTTATATATAAAATGAAGAAACCTGTGAGCTATATGTGTTAGGTGGCGACGATTGCACCGCCGTTATCTACAAATGGAATGGTTGCGGACGATTAAAATGCTGACCAGTTGAATCGCAACCAAATTTGTGTTTTTTAATCGCAACTTCCAACTTGCGTTTTGGTAAAAAAAAACTTAAATACTTTTATTAAAAATTATATAAAACACTTATATATATATATATATATATATATATATAGGGGTGGGCACGGATCGGATATCCGGGATTTTTGAGATATCCGTATCCGTATCCGATCTTTCTATTGAATTCTAACAACGTTAACTGAATTCTAACAAGGTTTTTCGGATATCCGCTACTTCAGATATTCGTTAAAATCACGGATATTTGCGGATATCCGTATCCGACCTAAATTATTATAAAATTTTAAATTTAAATTAAATAACAAATTCAAATGTAAATAAAATATATAATCTATTTAAGATAAATAATATTCACAAATTTAAAATTCATAATTTAAACATTCCAAATCAACTCAAATACAAATACAATTATAATCTATTACATACAAATATATTCAAAATTCAAAATTCAAAACATTAAACATAATAAATCTTAATATTCAAAAATTAAAATTATAAACCTCAATATATATAAAATTTTTCGTATCCGACAAATATCTCCAAATAAATATCCGTATCCGATCCGTAAACACCGGATATCCGAATTTTCGGTTCGGATACGAATCGAATAACGGATCGGTTCGGATTTTTCGGATATTTTGTCTACCCCTATATATATATATATATATTGGTGATGATTTCATTTAGTGTTATGATTTGATATCATTTTTTAATATTATATTTTTATAAAAAAATATAATAGTATAACTTTTAGGTTTAATAATGATTATTTTTAATAATTTTTATAATAAAATTATTTTTTAACTTAAAATAAATTAAATTGATAATATTTATATTTTAAATTTATTAATTAATTATTATAAATTTAGTAAATAATTTTTATCAAATAATACTAAAAATTTAATTAAAACTATTATAAAAAAAATATTTTAAAATAATATTCTTTTTTGATAACTTATATCAAAACGCAACCGCAATGAACCATTCATTTTTAACTGCATCCACCCGCAATCATTGTCAATAGCAATTTATCAACTAGTCAGTACTAATCGTATATAACCGTTGCAGTACATCCGGTCGAACCTTAATATATTTAAATGTTAAATATTGAATATTATCGCCGTGGTGGAAAATGAAAACAAAGTTGAAGGGGACTTGACGGCCATTTGCCTTGCAACTGGAGCAAGCACTTGGAGGCTTTACACACACATATACTTATATATATATAATGTGTGTGTGTTTTGTGGGTGTGAACATTATATTTTTTGTCTGGAGGAGTTGATCGTCTGAAATGTGCATGAATCATGTTGAAATGGCAATGGTTTTCTGTGTATAATATATATATATATATATAGATGAAAAATAATTTCGTATATATATATATATGTAAAAGTATGGTAACAACAGACGTCACACGGGATATTAAACGGTATGATTTTGATGGATTTTTTAAGATTGTTGTATTAAACTATATAAAAAAAATATACACAAAGGTTTTCATATATGTAAATTTAACTATACTCCTAATTTAGTGTAGCACAATAAATAACCACACTCACTAGAAAATACGGATAAAATACCTTTATTGTATGATATTATAAATAATAATACAAAAATAATGCAAATACAACGGGAAATGGGTTATCTAACATTAAAAGTGAGGCCAGACCACATGATATATTTTTTTCCCAACATTAAAGAGGTTATCTATCATTCATCTACTCCTACAAAATTATATATATACAATATATATGTATATATCCGATATATATATATATATATATATATATATATCCGAAAAGTGTATGAACTATGTATACTGAACCTGATAGAATATTCACGTGACCATAGCATTATGGATAATATATGTGCTTAATTTAAAGATGTTTATCATTGCGATATATAATACGGTCCGATATGGTGCGATGATTCTAGTTCCGAACAAAGCCAACGAATCCTGAATAGGTTTCTTTTAAATTAAGTTTTACATCATTATAATATATATGTACATATATACACACGGTAATTATGTACTAAAATCAAATGGAGAAATGATTATGAAATATATATTAAAAAAAAAAACATTTGGGTTTTGGGTTCTTTCTGCGTTGCAAACGTTGCTTTCGAGATTTATGGCATATCAAAGTTAGGTAATTTTGATCCCACATTCTGGATATGCGTGAATTTATATTCAACCATGTTATATTGTTCTATAGACGTATCTAAGAAGAAAATATTTCAATAAAAAAATGTTTTTATCTTTTGATTTTGTCATTAACATATGTGTTCTATATTTATCAATATAAATATTTATATTGTATAATCTCTCTATTTTTTTTAACTTTAGTGACCATTTTGTGTATATATCTGCATGATAAGATAATTTTTTTCCAAGTCATTTTATGGATAATTTTTTACGTGCTAATAATTTTATATTTAATGTTATTCCAGGAAAATTTGCTGGCTTATATTCCATTGAAATCTGTTGGAACACTATAATATAGGAAGTCGTAAATTGGCAAGATTTTATCGGTCAACATCTTTAGCTTTTGACTTCACAAATTATCAAATTAAAATATATTTACGATTTTAGATGAATAAGCATATATATATATATATATATATCGAATTTTTGTCGTAATTTCGATGATATTCGGACACATCTCAACAAACTTAGACCAAACCCAACCCATTATCATATTTTATTTTCGATTTTGACACCTTGTCTTATTTTTGTTTACATGTAAGCCAAACATATATGATTGGGAATCTTTCGTTTTCGAAACTTGATTTTTATTTATTTAATTTGGTTTCACAATAATTAAGTTTATTAGCTGATCACTTTTGTGCATATATAGACGTTTTAAAAAAAGTTACAGAGAATTTTTTTAAATTTGTTTTCTTCCATTTTTTAAAATTCTGTGCCTCGATTGAAAAACATGGACAAGCTGACAAATCAGAGGATCACAGCATTGGACGTGAAAGTAATTGTTAGGAATAAAATGCTTGTGATATAGTATTTTTGGACTTTGTTATATATATATATATATGTCTTGATTAGGGCGAGGGAAAAAACCCTAAAAATTCCTGAACTTGTATTTTGGAGTAATATTAATTCCTAAATGTATATTAATTCCCAAACCTACAAAATTGAACACGTTAAATCCTGAACTTGGTAAACGGTTCCATATTCGTCCATAACATTATTTGGTCAAAAAAACGAGTTGACCGATTCGACGTGGCGCGTGACGTGGCGAGCCACGTCGGATCGGTCAACTCGTTTTTTTGACCAAATGTATTTTGGAGTAATATTAATTCCTAAATGTATATTAATTCCCAAACCTACAAAATTGAACACGTTAAATCCTGAACTTGGTAAACGGTTCCATATTCGTCCATAACATTATTTGGTCAAAAAAACGAGTTGACCGATTCGACGTGGCGCGTGACGTGGCGAGCCACGTCGGATCGGTCAACTCGTTTTTTTGACCAAATAACGCTATGGACGAATATGAAACCGTTTAACAAGTTTAGGATTTGACGTGTTCAATTTTGCAAGTTTGGGAATTAATAGGCACCTCTACAAGTTTAATAATTAATATTACTCCAAAATACAAGTTTAAAAATTTTTAGGGTTTTTTCTGTTAGAATGTTAGATAGTTACTCGATTGGACAACACTAGTGGAAACATTAGCTATCTTGCAATAAGTGCGTCTTGTAATATCGGATTTACCAATATAGAAACAAATCTATTAATAATGATCACGGTTTGATAGTGATGTAAAGATAAACTTCAGATTTTTTATAATAGTGATCTGTCAATAATGTTTGCAATACAAATTTTATAATAAAATAATCAGATACTGGGACATTTTTTTTAGCTTTTTCTAATGAATTATTTTTTCTATTCATTCCGATGTTGATATCATAAATAATCAGGAGATTAGTCGAATAAAATTAGAGATTTTAAAAAAACATATGTTTCATATATTACACACAAATAAGATATTAATGGCATAGATTGTTTTAGACTATAAAATAAAATAGTCTTATTTTGGATAATTCATTCCTAAAAATGTAAAAAAAAATTCGGTATATTTTGGTAAATTTACTCTGATTGTTTTCAAATAACTAATTGTTCTATAGTTTATATTCAAATGTGCATACACATAGGTGGAAATGGAAAGGCCATGATTTCCAAATTTGATTCGGAAATCTTTACATATACGGTGTTTAAGTTTCACATTCGGGTCAGTATTATACATTTATAGCCCACATTTTCGGCTAAGAGGAAGATTAGCTGTGGCCATGATTTAATTAATGCCCATTCATTTATTTATTATCTAACAGTCTGCCATCTGTAAGTGTATATATATATATACACATATAAATTATTCATATATATAAAAATGTGGTGTTAAATTACTAAATCAAGAATTTATGGCGTGGGCCTGAATCTCTATCATTCATTTGACCAACGGGACAAATTGCAATCAGGTAAGGCTCATTGGAATTCACCTTTCCACGACACTGTTCATCGAGCTTAAATCAAATACGGTTTTGGTCAACTTTAGTGGTTCACATTATTATGCATTTTCAAAAACAAAATCATACTTTTGACGTACATATATATATATATATATAGAGAGAGAGGAAAAACATCGAGTTAACCATAAATCTCGACAACCGTTTTGGACCGTATATCTGCAATCGGATCGTTGAACGAGCTACAACTGTGTTGAAGTGGAGCACCATTAATACCAACACCTAATATACGTCTAAATCAACCAGAATCATCATGCCTTTGCTACATATTTAGTGTATGCTGTATGTCACTTTCATTGCGTAAAATCGCAATAAGTGGTTTGCTGTTTGGTCGGTCTTCTGTGACCTGTAATGGCTCCTCGTCTTGTCTTTTCTCGACACTGCATGCATGAACACACAACATTACACGTGCATGCATCCAAGCACACAACTTAGACATGAGCATAAAAGCATCATCGTATATGTCTGTACATACATACGCTTACGCATATGCAAGATTTTGTCCAGGATCAAATAATCCAACAAAATCTGAAGAATTTCTTGAACGTGTCTCCCTCTATTTTTTTCTCCACCATTTTTGCCTTTAGGAATGTGAATGTACCAATAACAATAAACATGTGACAAAACTTCTGAGCTCATGTTTTTTCCTCTTCTACTCCCTGTGGTCTCTCTGTCTCTCACTCTTCAAGATTAAGAAGCTTTCGGCTTCTTCCTCTTT